CTCTGTAAACCGCTTAGAGAGGGCTGAAAGGCCTATGAAACGGTATATCAGTCTACTGCTATTGCTATTGCTATAAAGATAAAAGGTAAAAGTGCAATAAGAAAAAAATAGCAGACACCCGCAAAAATATATATAAGCAGGCTTAAAGATAAAAAGAATTGCCTTCAGATATCCTTCACAGGAGTTATAAACAAAATTATATTTTAACCCTGGGTCAATGTACATGACAGTTGCCAAGCATTCAAAGTTTGATCATGTAACAATGGGAATGCTGCAACAGTTGTAAGTATGAAAAACTATGTAACTTTTTTTTAGTGTCATTGTAACCTCGAACAGTCACTAAAATAATGGTTGTAAGTTGAGGACTACCTTTGAATGGTTCCTGCTTGGCAGAAACAGGCAATAAAAAGTTTTAAATATTCTGATTTTAACCAATGCCGTATTTACCAGAACAACAGCACTTTTAGACGAAGAATTAAAATTTAGCTATTTATAATAAGACGCCACATGCCTATCTCCCATGTGAAAGTGTGCTATGTGGTGAATTATTTACAATATTTGCAGAAAAAGGACAACAGAACATTAACGCAAACCAACTCCCAAAAATAATGGACAAGGTTTTTTTTTATTGATTAAAAATTAGAGAAATGACATGCAATAAAATACAAAGTCAAAGGGGAAAAAAAAGGCCGAATATTTTACATCTTTCGTTAAAATCTACAGTACACCAAATTGTGTAGAGCTTCCTTTTATATTAATACACCACCCCTCCTCAAGGCTATTGACTAAGTTTAAAAAAATACAAACCGATTTCTAGGTTCAAGTTCAGAATTTACCCAAAATAAAAACCCCTCTGATCCATGAGGGTATAAAGGTTAGAAATAATTTTCTAAACTACCAAACAACAACAACAAAAATCATTGGCACTTTTGAACNTAAGGCGAAAAAGCCTGGCCGCCATTCCGTTCCTTCGCACATGCTTCTGCTGAAATCCAGACACTTTAAAATAGCCAAGATTTAATATAATGCAATTACCATATGCATGAGGAAAATATTAAAGGACTCAGGCCAGATCATTTTTAAAGACTTCTCTACAGGTCATTACGAAGAAAACTGGACAGAAGAAGTACAGTGTTGATGTATCTAGTGAAACCTGATGAAGTACAGCAGTGGCCAAAATTATGGAAACCTTTTGGGAACAGTGTATTTTTGAGGTTTGATGGCTAAAAACATCACTTTCTTTTGGAGTTTCAAGATAATTATATTCCATTGTTGGAATGGCCTGGGAATACCCTAACCCAGTTGAAAATCTATGGAGCCGACTAAAGAAACTTATTAGTCAGAAGCGACCCAGCAATAAAACCCAGTTAATAGAAGCAATCATTCAATCTTGGTTTCACATTATAACCATTGCAGAACTAAAAGACTTGGTTCATTCAATGGGAAGACATTGTAAGGCTGCAATTCATGCTAAAGGTTACCCAACTAAGTATTAACTGTGATCATTTTTGTGTATCTCATTTTTTCTACCTGTTTTACTTTTCTTCTCTATAACCGCTATTCTAATAGAAAATCCTTCATAAAAGTTATTGCGTTACATTCTTGATTAAATTATCTTTCCATTGATATATAATATTATGGTACTAATCCCCCCAAAAAGTGTGCTTAAACCAGAATAGTGCTGTTGTTAGCTAGTTTTAGAAAATACACTTTTCCCAAAAGGAAATTTTGGCCACTACTATATATGAAAGTCTTGGTGCTCTCTGAGCTTGGTTGTTTTCTTGCAGATGTTTAATTACCAAACTAGGTAACATCATCAGTGCTTTGGGTAATGAAACATCTGCAAGAAAACAACCAAGTTCAGAGGGCCCTTCATTTCAACCCTTAGCTACAAATATTCTCCTTTATTGGATGGAAGCCACTTTGAGATCCAGGCTCTGTAGAACTTCACATGTTCTTAACATGAATATGTTCATTGGGCTTTCAAAATAACTAACAATTGGTGCAATTGATCAATACAATGTGATCTGCGTATCTCTTCTAACATGTCTAGTCTTTAAAGGGCTACTTGTGAGTGGGAAGAATTTTACTTTCCTTATCAATTGCAGACAGCTGCCCAGGGACAGGTTCTATTGCAAATATCATGCTTATTTTTTCCCCCTCTCATTTATTCTTCGCCTTTTAACTCCCGGCACACTCTTTCCCCAGTTTTATACAAAAACCACACATTTAATTCAGGAAGAAAATGAGGTTCCCAAACCTGGGTAATCAGAGAAGGTTTTGGCTTGGAAGAAAAAACCCATCCATCTTGGCACTTCTCTGTTGAGTTCAATCCAGATTGCAGGATGGTCTCTGGGTTGGTTTCCATAGGCGTATACATGAGGCATGGCTCTAAGGTCCCGTCAGGATTTCGGGGAATGGTTAAATTCAGCTTCGCCTCTTCGGTCAAGTTCAAGTGGATGGCATCCAACCAATTAGTGTTGCAGTGATGAGGCACTGGAATGACCATGAATAATTGGCTGAACATATGAAAACCACCGAAGGGTGAAACTATAGTGATCATCAGTACCAGCCAATGCTGGAATCGGCCGAAATCATTAAGAGCTTTGATAATTTCTCCAACATCAGTCATGGCTGCTTTCTCTGTTACTGCCTGTCCTTTGGCTAATCTGGCTATCCAAATAGCCCTCTGCAATCCAATCCAACAGACTCTGGAATTAATGGTTAAACTGAGAATAAACTTTGATATGGCACTCAGTGAAGTGCAGGAACGGTGTTTACTGAGCTTTGGCTAATAGTCCTAATACAGGGCATTTTTTACACTTTCACAACTGCAAGTTGTGCGGTTAATTAATTGCCAACTTTGCAGCTTGGACAGCCAAAGGGAGCAAAGCTCATAAGGACCGATTAAAAGTGGAATGAACTGGAAAAGATAGGCAGCTTCAGAGGTGTCAGTCTCTTTTAATTAATTATTTATTTGAAGAGAGAGTTCTATTTGAGACTGGAGAATTTGATCAAGGAAAATCAGAGGAGTGGATGATGGGATTTTTTTGGGTGTGTGTGTGTAATATAATTGATGATGTGATATAATTGATGGCATACTAACCTGGGACAACTTATATGGACACAGGATTCACACATCAATTATAAACAATGTTATATGAATCTTAAAAGATTGTCTTAGAGGACAACCAGGATCAAGAGGATCAATTACCAAAGCAATTGGTTCACCATTGAAATACTTGAAGAATCAGGTTGGCAACAGATCATACCGGAGAAGTTATATCTAGAATTTAAAAACAAACAAACAAACCAGAATTGGATGGGACCTTGGAGATCTGCTAGTCCAACCTCATGAACAAGCAGGAAACTCTATACCAGTGATGAACCTTTTAGACACCGAGACTCCAAACTGCACACATGTGCATGTCTAAACTGAAATGCAGATGCGTGCATACACAAACGTGTGTGCATGAACATGGCATGCATGGACATGTGTGTGCACATCCATGGGCATGCACGCATGCACAGCAGTGACCCGCTGGCCGGCAGGAGGCAGGGCATCCCAACACTGTCAGTGTGGCAAGAGGTAAGATCTTTTTCTTTCGTGAGCTTCTGTTTTGTCGTTTGCAGGGAAACAGAAGCTCGCGTAACAAACGCCAGAGAGATCTGACCTGGGGCGATGGCATAGTAGAGAGGGCTTTGCATGCCACTTCTGGCATGCATGCCATAGTTTCACCATCACAGTTCTCTACCGTTTCAGAGAAATAGTTGTCCAGTCTCTTCTTTAAAACTCCCAGTGTTGTTGCTGTATTTTTCGGAGTATAAGGCGCACCAGAGTATAAGACGCACCAAGATTTTGAAGAGGCAAATTTAAAAAAAAAGTTTTTGCACTCTGCAGACCTCCCCAAAACAGCCTGTTTTTCGCAAATACAGGCCCAGTTTTTTCAAACAAAAAGGGCATGAATAGGCTTTAGGAGGCTTCTAGAGTGCTCTTGGGGACTGGGAGAAATGAGCAAAAATCGGCCCGTTTTTCGCTCATTTTAGCCCTCCCCAACCCCCAAGAGCACTCTAGAAGCCTCCTAAAAGCTATGCACCGCCATTTTTGCAAAGGGGGTGGGGCTTTAGGAAGCCAAAAATGCTGAATTCAGTGTATAAGACGCACACAGATTTTCACCCTTTTTTGAGGGGAAAAAGGTGCGTCTTATACTCCAAAAAATATGGTAATTGTTCTCACTGTCAGGAAATGTCTCCTTAGTTCTAGGTTCCTTCTCTCCTTGATTGGTTTCAATCCATTGCTGCTTCTTCTGCTTTCGGGTGCATTGGGGAATAGGTCTACCCCCTCTTCTTTCAGACAGCCTTAGATATTGGAATACTGCTATTATGCCACCCCTAGACCTTCTTTTCACTAGACATGGGTATGTCGCTAACATAAACACCAACTTGATGGTGGTCAATCAGTCAATCTACGTGAAGATCTTCCTTTCTGGAGAAGTCTATAGAACTGGGAAAGACAACGAGTGTGATTTACACTGTCAATGGGCGTGCCCATTGAAGAACTGAAGGGCCAGGTTGGGGAACTTCATTACGGAGAAAGTGTGACTCTTAAAAGAGTTAACACCAACTTGATGGCACGTAATCAATAAACCAACCAATCAATGGAAACACCTGGTGGAGTCTATGATACTGGGATAGGTAGAGGGAAGAACGAAAAGGGCAATCAGCAGCAAAGCGGAGGGATTCAGATATATATGTGATAGCTGCCCTGTTGGAAGACTTCAATCTTAAATTTAAAGGAGACAGATTGGAGAAGATGATACATTGATTACGCCGTGGCACGACAAAACCGCGCTTGACTAAAGCGTGCCCGATTAAACGGCGTCGCTGACGTCATCAGCAGGGCGGCAACCGCAAGCGCGGAGAAAGAAGGGCGCTTTAAATAGCGCTTTGAAAGCAAGCCGATTCAA